GTTCCAGTGAGCACTGTTGGGGCCATAATTCGGAAGTGGAAAGAACATTATTTCACCATAAACCGACCAGGTGCTTCTCACAGGATTTCTGACAGAGGAGTGAAAAGAATTATCAGAAGAGTTGTCCAAGAGCCAAGGACCACTTGTGGAGAGCTTCAGAAAGACCTGGAATTAGCAGGTATGATTGTTTCAAAGAAAACAATGCTGAAATCGCGTTTGGTGTGAACGCACCATTAGATCAGGGGTGTCCAATCCTCATCCTGGAGGACCACTTACCGGCACTTTTTTCTCTACTCCAACACACCCAATTCAGTGACAATTAATCTCTGAGTTCTGCTGAAGCCTGTTCACCCATTTATTCAAATCAGGTGTGTTGAAGCAGATAAACCTCTAAAACCTTTAGGATAGTGGACATCGAGGACCAGGACACCTTTTGTACTTGACGATCATGCCGAACTAGCGTGACACCAGGATTATCACATCTGCCCCAGGTTGTTTCCATGACCTTGTCAAAAATAATACATTTACAGACCAGTATGGTGAGTCCACTGCAATAAAAAACCACCAAAACCTCACTGCAGAAGGTCATCATGGACCTATCACACGTAATGGCGAACTCACCCAGATCTGACCAAGACACGGCAAAGACCATCTAGCTTCTGTTTTTATTGTTATCCAATAAAAAGGTTTTAGATGTGTTTATTCTTTACTACAAATTTATGCTTTTTAAAATGCAAAAAAAGTTTATGTAAAGAAATATGTTGAAATAAATAAGAGTTTCTCTTGTCCTGATCAGTGTTGCAGAGGTTACTCATCAGATAAATCAGTCACAAGCTCTTCATTAAAGGGAGGAGGGTGTCTTTTCCCAGTGTTTTTTTTTTTTCTAAGCCTCTGAAAACATGCTGCTGGAAGCCAACTCTGGTTAACCGACATTACCAACTACCCACAGCGGATTCTTCTTCCTCCCCACAAAGTGATAAGAGGAGCAGAGAGAATGAAAATAAGACAACAGAAGTATCTCGTGACGTGGCCCTCTGGACCAGATGGGACCAGGGTGGAGGACTTTCAGCTGCTTTAAACAAACTCTTTCACTCTTTCTGTGCTCTTGAGGTGTTTTCATCAGCCTGCTGCTCCAATCTTCTGCTGACGATTGGCTTTTGGTTTGCATTTACCTACCCTAAGATTGTAGTTGCAGCTCATCAAGAAAAAAAAATTATTTGATCTGTGCTTTTGATTTGAAGCTGAACGCTGTATTTTTTTTATCGTTAATCAACCAGTCAGGGTTGCGCAATGCGGCGAAGGACTTCCTGTTTTTCTTCCTGTTCGTCCAGCAGCGTAATGTGATTATTGCATGTATGATCAGAGAGAAAACTAGCAGACTGACTGCTCAGCTATGCTGCTGAAAAGGAACCTGACAGCTCTCAGCGATCACCTTTAACTCACCCTCGTTGTAAACTAGGCATGGGTTTGCACAAGATTTTGCAAGCAGAGGGATTTTTTTTCTGGTCACTCAGGTTTTCTCTCAGTTTAAAAACACGCACGTTTGGTTAAATGCAGATTTTAATTTAACCCTAGACGTGAGTGCGTGAGGTTGCCTTTCCTGTGTCTCTATGGACTGGTGACCTTACCAGAGTAAGCTCCTATAAGGGCCGGCCTATGGCATGGACAGGTATGAGGTCGACTTCTGGTATTCTGTTTCAAATGAATTATGTTGTCATCTATTTTAATCTGACAGCCTGGTTTATGGAGATAGAAAAAATAACATCAAAAACAAAACAGTTTAATTWGGTATTTGAATGAATTTGCAATGATATTTATAAAATTGGGAAAATTTAGATGCAGGTATATTGTAAAGTTTGACATGTATGCAAAAGCCATAATTGCAAAGTTTGAGCTTGTCTAAAACTTGGTGGATTCCTTTATTATATTTCTTTATTATCAGAATCAAGCTTTGGTAACTTTCAGATTTTTACTAATTTTGTCTGGTAAATACTGTATGTAAGAGAATTATAATCTGGTTATACATGTCAACCCCTTCGGACAGTTTACCTGTATACARCCTTCAGAAATCCATGTTTCATTCAAAAATCAGTGGTGCTATCACAAATACAGCGGTGCAGGGAGTGTTGGTGGCATTTGCGGCGGAGCAGGCATTGTGGTGGAACAAGGAGGAGGCAAACTTAGCGTTTCCTTACAGGTCAGTTGTGAGACGTAAAAAACATTTGAAGTGAACTTTTTCGAAAAAAAAATTTCTATATGTCTGTATACATGAAAAATGGGGGGAAATTTGTGCAATTTACGGATGATCAGTATGATGCATTCTTCATTGAAGGCGACCTCTGACCTTTAGGGTCGAAGGTTTTCTACCAATGTGGGCGCAACTCCTACAATGTAGGAATCACTATTAGACATGTGTCTCTTTGAATCCACGATGAACGGCTCTGCTTTGTGTTTTACAGTTGTATGAGTCAAAACAACGTTCTCCTGCAGCTTGCCTTCAGCTGATTTCTCCAAGACCTTTCTCTTTTCTCTTTGGAGCCTAATAAAAACTCCCCGATCCTCCACCCGAGGCTCACGAGCGTACCCCCGCCCCTCGCACCACCCTAAAAACACATCTGGTTCACAGAGCGCCCCCTCCGGGGACCCCTTTTAGCGGTCCCTCCCAGACGTGAACTTGGCCTGCCCAATGTGTTTGTTCATGTAGTCTTGAGTCTGCCTTCTGGACAGGGTGGAGGAGGAGGAGGAATTTCAACATAAACGGCCCCTTTTTTGTATTTACACAATTGAAAACATCAACACAAGATATGTATGGGAAATGGAGGATTGCGCGTGTGTATATTTCTGTGTGTGCGTGTTTGTGTGTGTGTGCATAAGAGTGTGTGAAAGTGCTGGAAGTGGAGCGGCAAATAGGAGTGGTTACGTCACATCAGCCGACATTACTGGCCTCAGACTACCATATCAGCCGTATCACTCAGTAGATTAGTTAGTTAGTTGTCTCGTCAGCCAGTCAACCAATCAACTCATCACGTTTACAAACCAGAGTTAACTAGTTGTCCTCCTAAACGTATGCATGCAGCCATCAAGCTTTCAAACCGTCAATCATGTGGAAGCTGTTGATTAGAAACAGCTGTCCTCACTCCTCCACTGACTCCCCCGATGACTGACTTCATTGTTTCAACAGCCCCGCCCACTTTCTGTAGCAACACAGAAACCCCAGACTCTTTATTTCTTTTTTTTTCTCCCTCTCTCACTTCCCTCTTTTTTCTTCTTCCTTCTCTCTCACTTTCATGTATTTGTTCTTTTTTTTTTTTTCATTCTTTACATACTGACGGCTCCAAATCCAAAGGGATAAGTTTTGGAGTTTTATCGCACATCACTAAATGGCAGGACGGGCAATAACGTTGTAACCAACATCTATGTGTTTGTGTGTCTGCTAATAAAATATCTCGTGAAGCAATGGGAGAAAAATACTGAAACTTTTAAAAACTGATGGAACTTTTGGACAGAATTCAAGATTACAATTTCTTTTCTTGGCACCAGTTATTTTATGAGTTTGTTTTTAATATGTGCAAAAATACAAATCTTTTTTGTTCGAGCAGACTTTTTGCATTTAATAAAAATGAACCGTATGAATGTTTTAGTACTTCTCAGCTCCAGAGACTGACAGAATGCCACTCTTGAGGCTTCAAAATCCACAAAGCAGAAGATCATTCTCTTATCCAGTTTATGATTCTGAGTCAATCCTCTAATCTCCATTGCAACATCACGAGGCCCMTTTTATATTGTGCATAAATGGGCTGTGTTCATAATGTGGCTTTTCAGTCCAAACCCTCAGTCTATCTCAGTATGTGGCTGTGAAGAGAGGGCTAACATACAGGGCGAAGCTTTTGATTTACTGGTTCATTTACGTTCCAACGATCAACTATGGTCACAACAGTTGGGCGATGACCAAAAAGAGCAAAATTCAAGATAAGATACAAAAAAATA